TTTTTATATTTAACAAAGAGAATAGTAGGACTAGGGGACACAAATATAAATTTTGGCAGGGTAGGAGTCATTTTCAGCCAAGAAAGTTTTATTTTTCTAACAGGGTGGTTGGAATTTGGAACAGGTGGCATTTGGGTGTTGTAGAGGCAGTAAATTTAAGTGAGTTTAAGAGAAAGCTTGATAACTTTATCAGTGATAAGGGCTGGCTTTAAGATTTTAAAAAAATAGTTGTAGTTTAGTTTAGAGGATGGGACAGCCGAGATGGACCAATAGGTTTTTGTTGTTCCTAATCATTATGTTATGTTAACAGTAATTATAAACAAATATTTAACTTCAACAATGCATCAGTTACTTAGGTTATACTGTTATAGTAATATTGTAACTTGAGTCACCAGAAAGATGTAACTAAGAAATACACTTTCATCATATTATAACACATGAACATTTTTTATGCCAATAACACATTTCTAACAACAGTATTTTAACGTTAAAAAGACTTGGCTTCAATAATACACACATTGTTAACAACAGTATTATAACATTAAAAGACTTGACTTCAGTAATGCATACACCGTTAACAACAGTATTGTAACACGTTAAAACGACTTGACTTCAATAATACACACACATTAACCACAATATTGTAACACGTTAAAAAAGACTTGACTTCAATAATACACACATTAACCACAATATTGTAATATTAAAAGACTTGACTTCAGTAGTGCACACGTTGTTAACACCAGTATTGCAGCACATTATAAAATATTTGACTTCAATAATACGCACATTGTTAAAAGCAATATTATAACATAAAATAAGACATGACTTTAGTAATACATATGTTATTACAGGAACAGTATAATACACTAAAGATATAGTTTGGTTAATATGTATTATAATATATTTATAATTTTTCTATGAGAAGAAACAATTAATATTTAGAGAGCAAATTCTCCTAACAATGATGATTCAACTGAAACAATTTTCTAGATTTTTCGTGAAGAAAATCTCAATGTTTATCTCAGAATATGCTTGGACTCTGAACGTTTTTAACATATAGTGATAATAAACATTTTCAATTGAGTAGTTTATATTTGGAATATAAAAAGATATATATATATTAAATTAATATGAAATAAAATACGCAAACATTTCATGTCTATTTTGCGTTTTCGTCGTGTAGATTTTACTTGGAGAAATAGGATATTTTATATTTTCGAGAAGGTCCAGGAAAGTCGTGCGTGTGGGATGTAAAGGATGTAAATTGCACATGATCACTCGTAGGCTTCTTCGATTTACAGGTATGCTTTGGTTTTCATGCCATTTAACCTAGAACATGTTACCATAGTAGCCTCGCTAAGCAACGCGAAAAACAAAATAATTGAAAGCTACTCTTATAGTACTGGATTATTTTGTTGCTAAGGTAAGTCTCAATAATCAGTGAAATAGTTTGTAAATATCTATAACTAAATGTCTGGGTGTCATTCTGTACGTTTACATCTCCAAGTGTCAGTCTATAACGAGTTTCAATGTAAGTGATTGTGTGCCACTCTGTCGCTGTATTAATGTCCATGTGTCACTATTATATCTAACTTTTTGTGTGTCACTCTAAGTGCTAGTCTATTCCTCTAAGTGAACAACTTTCAAGTCTGGGTGTCCATTTGTTACTCTATGTCTAAAAGTCAATGTGTCATTATCTAACGAATTGAACTGATCATGTGTCACACTATTTTTCAGACTGTCTATCTGTCAGTCTATGTGTTCGTGTATTACTGTGTATCCACAGTTGCTAATCTAAGTGTTCGTGTATAACTGTGTATCCACAGTGCTAATCTAAGTGTTCGTGTATTACTGTGTATCCACATTGCTATGCAGCTTAACGACGAGACTGGAGAAAATCAATATATATATATATATTTGTTTCAAGAATAATAAAAAATCCGTTAATTATTATCTTAACACAGTTCATATGCAACTTATATCTTTTAAAAAGTATTTCCTTTAAATGCACATTTAATTGTTGTGAATAAAGGGTTGAGATCCATACAATATATGGTTTATCTACAATCATGTACATTTCCCTTCATTGTGTTTAATTATTGTGAACAAAGAATTGAGATCCATAAAATATATGGTTTATCTACAATCATGTACATTTCCCTTCATTGTGTTTGATTGTTGTGAACAAAGGGTTAAGATCCATACAATATATGGTTTATCTACAATTATGTACATTTCCCTTCATTGTGTGTTTGACTGTTGTGAACAAAGGGTTAAGATCCATACAATATATGGTTTATCTACAATTATGTACATTTCCCTTCATTGTGTTTAATTGTTGTGAACAAAGAATTGAGATCCATAAAATATATGGTATATCTACAATTATGTACATTTCCCTTCATTGTGTGTTTGATTGTTGTAAACAAAGAATTGAGATCCATAAAATATATGGTATATCTACAACAACAATCAAACACACAATGAAGGGAAATGTACATAACTAAACAAAGAATTGAGATCCATAAAATAGATGGTATATCTACAATTATGTACATTTCCCTTCATTGTGTGTTTGATTGTTGTGAACAAAGAATTGAGATCCATACAATATATGGTTTATCTACAATTATGTACATTTCCCTTCATTGTGTGTTTGATTGTTGTAAAACCTTTTTTTTTCATCTTTTCTGAACAATCAGGAACTTTTCTATTCGGACTGCTTTGTACCAGTATCTTGACGGATGGCCTTAAGATGGCCACTGGTCGACCAAGACCATACTTCTTTGAGGCCTGCAACGTGAGTAAAGACGTGGTGAGCTCCAACTGTCTTTCCTTAAGTTCCTGTAGCGCCTCTGGTGATCTTAGAGAAGCTAGGTATGTTTAAAAGTTTTACCTTTGAGGAGGAGTACTATGCGTTGTGTAGATTCCCGCTGATACACCAACCTTGATCCTGTTTAACAAGAACTTTTAATACACTAACATTAATCACTGAGTAAGAACATTCTTTATAGATCCTTTCTTTATGTTCTAGGGCGTCCTTACTATTGCTTGAAATTATTTTCGTTTGAACATTGAATGTGTTTTAAATACGATTTTTCCTAATCTATTACAGATTAAGCTTTCCTTCGTTCTACGCCTCACTTTCAGCTTACACAGGAGTATTTGTAATGGTAAGTTGAAAATATAAGTGTTTCTATCTGGACATTAATCTCAGATTGAACACCAATTGCTAAAATTAACAACATATTTGAACTACGGCACATTATATTATAAACATACAATCAGTTAAATAAACTTTTTAGCATCTTCCTTTTATGGTTTATAAACTAAGTCTAGACCATGGTTGCTCCTGGATAAGAGACTGGATTGAAAAGGGACTTCTTATGGCTTGTAAATGATCTTTGAGAGAGGAAGGCTGTTTCTGCCATTGGCAACTTTCACTGTCCCGAAAGGGTTTTACCAGAAGATTTGAGCCCTGCTCAGGATACTTTGAGAAAGACAGAGTTTAAAGTAATGTTGCAGGCTATGTTTTTGTTATTTCGATTTTTTGTTCACTAGAGAGAGAGAGTTTTCCACGACTTACTGATTGTGTGAGGACTAGAATTTTCTTGAAAATTTGAGCCTCGTGTGACCGTTCATGAAATAATGTAACAATATACAACAGTGTATACTGGAGTGAGTGAGTTAGTCTGTTCGCCAGTGATTCGGGTAGTTCAATTAGTGTATTCGTGAGTAATTCAGTCATTCAGTTAGTTATTTAGTGATTAAACAGTTAGTAAGTGAGTCAGTCAGCGTGTTTGTTATCGATGATTAGGGATGAAATTGGACAAGAAAGTGACTTCACCTTCATTTGCGAGTTATGCATACTATTAATTTCAGAATTTCTGTTGAAATGTTGTTTGTGAAGTTAGGCCCACTACATGTAACCTGTAGTCTGTATAAAATATTACCGAAAAAGTAAATTAAAATATTGATGGAGACGTAAACTCCAAATTTGTACAATTCTGTACGCAAACATGCCAAAGGACGCGCAGAGGCGTAGCCAGGGGGGGGGGGGCATAGTCCCCCTGAAAAATCTAGTCATATTGTTTTTTAGCTTTTATATAGAATAAACTCGTTTTGTATCGTTTAATAAGAAAATAAAACTTCTATAAACACTATTAAATTTGATTTGTTTTGTTTTAATGACCATGTAATTAACATTTTAGATAAATTTCAGCTTTTTAATTTATAGCCCCCCTTTAAAATTTCCTGCCCTCACCGAGTGAAAAACCTGGCTACTCGTGTTAAGGAACTAACAGAATACTGTTAACACTTACATTTCATAATTATACAGCTGTAACGTATTGTATCTTTGGCCGGGTTATTCGGTAAAAATATTGGGAAATCCAGTCCACTTAACGATAACAAACTGTTATATCTTCTAAGTGATTTTTGTGCAGTGCCACACGTGACGTTCCACACAACATAAACAAACTACCAACTGATAGCACGAGAAATGGACGCAGTAGTCTGGAGGCCCTGACGGCTAGAACACAATGGACGTAGCTCTGAAGGACCAAGAATGATTATTTTATCTTCGGTAACAAAGTGCCAAGACTTTCTAAAAAGTTGATATATGTTTAATACCTCAAACAGATAAATGTCAGGCTGGTTTCTTGGGGGAGTTGTGGCAGCTTATATTGTAAGTACCATCTCTTTCACTTTAAATATAGCAAAAGTCTGATTTCTTGGGGGAGTTGTGGCAGCTTATATTGTAAGAACCATCTCTTTCACTTTAAATATAGCAACAGGCTGGTTTCTTAGGGGAGTTGTGGCAGCTTATATTGTAAGAACCATCTCTTTCACTTTAAATATAGCAACAGTCTGGTTTCTTGGGGAGTTGTGGCAGCTTATATTGTAAGAACCATCTCTTTCACTTTAAATATAGCAAATGGCTGGTTTCTTCGGGGAGCTGTGGTAGCTTACTTAGTAAGTGTTAACGATAGCTCTTATCATTTACATAGGAAATAACATTTACGTACAATATGAACGGAGGAACCGAGGCCAGCATTGTATAATTACTAAAACAATGAATATAAACAAACTCAATACTTATATTCAAGCTTCAGATAGCCGTCACAAAGTAACAGATTTATTTATCAAATCAAACTACTTCAGGTAGTTAATAAATTAACATTCAGGTTTAGAATGTGAGAAGTTGTGGTTATTTAATAATAGAAACTTTCTGGATAAAACAAGACTTTTTTTTTAAGTTGTTCACCTTTGAACATTTTTGTTTTTTCAGTGTATCTTCACTTTGAGATCCTTCCATGAGCATCATCAATTGAAGAGAAAATGTTGTCATCCAAAAAAAACACCGGGTTCTTCCCAATGAAGCGAAAGAGGCCTCTTTTTTTTCGATACTTCCGAATTCCTCATGTATCGTACCAAAATTCACAGGTTCAGAGGTTATCTAATGCTGATCTGAGTACGAATTATTCGCTAACTTCCATTTCTCGAACACAGTCTTTCCCATCATATATGCATAACTTCAATGGATAACGAGACACCCAAATGAACAAGCTTTTTGAATGATGACGACAAAAGATTATTTGCTGTCCTAATAATGATTATTTGTTTCCTATTGAGTTCATTGGTAATATTTAATTACAGTTTTCCGTTTTGGTTTCAGCTTATTTGAGCAGTATTAAAATAAATGAAGTGGTAAGAAGCCGTCTATAATTATTCACGAATAATTTTGGAATAATCTCATCTAACCTCCAGAAGAAATCTGTTATTTTTAGTACCCTCTTTAGCATTTATTTCATATTTAAGGGAATTGAATGCCACTTTGTGTGATAAGCCCTAGATTCAGTATTAATTGTAATAATAAAAACAAAAATTTCAATGAGTACAATGATATTTTGAAATATTTTTATGAATTATGACTTACTCGGACTGGGATTTTGGAGGCTCATAACAAATCAAGGATAGAATAAAAATCGAAGCTTACAGTGTAATTATCAAAATAAATGTAGATAATCTTTTCCTGTCTAAAAACACTAATATCACTGATTATTTAACGAGTTAATTTACGTACGGCGACATCTATTGAGTATATTGAAAAGTTTACATTACAACCACTTAGTAGCTCAGCGGTAAGTCTGATGGCTTAAAACGCTAAATAATCAGGTTTCTATACCTGTGGTAAGCACAATACAGATAACTAATTGTATGGCTTTGTAGTTAACAATAAATAAACAAACACACAAGGGTTAAAATTCCTAGCTCACGTGTATATTTTTAATCTTAATTTTTGTATTGTGCAATGAACAATTCTTCGAACATATACATTGTTACCTCTTACAATATAATGGATCACACAAATTTATACTTATAATGATAACTGCAAATATTTTAAAAATTATAATATCAGTGCGTCCATCTATAGGATACGTTTCTAAAATAAGAAATAAAAACCTTTCACTAGCGTTCTTTTTTATACAATATTTTGTAAAATCTAAATAAAACTAAAAAAAAGTTCGAAAATCATTTAAACGGTAAACACGAATAAAAAAAAAGTGTTAATGATGAGCAGAATACTTGTTGAAGAGGTAGGGGTCATCAACTATTCAGATTATACTGGTTTTGCTATCGTCATTCGGAACGTGGAAGAAGCTTAGTGCAGATGGCAGCATGTCCGAAAATACATGAAAAACATATTTATTATTATTATTTTAAAGGCACTAACGTTTCAGAGACCACTTTACGTGTGACGTAATGATACGTGCCTACACTGCAGTCTTACTTCAACGTAGGACTATTTATTGTTGAAAACTGTAGAACCTTAAACTCACTTAACCCATATAGTGTTCTTACACAGAGTAATAACAAATAAAAAAGCATTATAATAGAATAATTATATTTCATCAATATTCTTCTAATGAGGTTCGGCATGGTGTGGTAACACCCCTTCACTAATCTCAATCGAGACATTTGCCTATAAACCTGCTTGGCGACCCTATAAATAGCCCAAGGTTATCTCGACTTCTTTCACGATATCACAAGAGAATATACCGAAGAGAACACCCCAGTGATAAGACATCAAGTATTAATGAAGAACAAAAGGTTATCCCATTTTCTTACCATAAGCCACGGAAAATATTTGCATTTTCTTTTATGTCAAAGCTACTATGGCTATTTTATGTCATCCCTTATTTTGAGCTACTGACCAGTGACCAGAGGATAACAGCTAATCAGCAGCATCCCAGTAACTACTTACTATCCACGCTTAATTAACTGTCACCCCCACTTTAAAGTATACTGAATATTTTGTGATATTGAACCTGACTCGACTGTTCCGCAATTCAGAACTCTACCACATTTTTTTACCCGTGCTCTCACAGAAACGAAAACCATCAGAAAATTTGGCGATTGGACAGTATATTTGGGTTGTTCAATGAACTTATTAATTCAACAAAGAGACAGTTTTGTAGTTATATTTATTTGTTTGTGTGTTTTACCAGAAAACCTTCACGACACTTGATGAGTGTGTTGTTCAATAACCACAATTTTCTTGAAAGTTTTAGGAACGGATTTGAACAATATAAAATGCATTTTAGGTGAGACCATATTGACTTTCGATTGATTATTGAGTAAGCCAGTTAGTTAAGCGCTCTAATTTTTAAGTTTGTGTTTTCAACAAACTGATTGAGATAAGAAAAGTACAATTCACAAGAAAAAATTAGCAAAGTAGTGGAATTTATATTTATACTTACCTCTGATCTCCCTGACGTACAAATAAAAATGAAAAGACAGAGAGCTCACTCCATTTTTTTTATTATTTATTTATATAGTATTAAATGTTTAAAGTTAAAATCATCAGTAAGATAGAATATGATAGGGAATGGATTAATCCCAGTATAATAATTATGATATGTAATATAAAAAGTAAAACTGTAAATTTACTAAAAGTGTGACAGTTGTATTAAGCATTTTGTCACGACAGCGGAAGTCATGCGACGCTGGAGTTTCTCGAAGGATCATGAATTTTCCTGGCAACACTAGTTTGTTCGAGGCGCCCTCTTTTTTAGTATATAAGCCTAGCGAGAAAAACCAGCGCGATTAAAGAGATATAGATAGATATTAAAGTGCTGGATAATTGAGTCAAGTGAACAGTAGGCACTGTAAGTAAAGTGTGTGAATCACTGTAATTTATAGCATGTGTTATAAAAGTTGTTACGCGTATTACAAAGTTTGTATCGAGAAAGAATAAACTAGTTTTAATCAAGAAAGGACTTATATCGCAGAAGTTTCTCGGAAATAATTTTTACCGGAAATTATCAAACAAGTAGATACGTAACAATACTTTTCTGCATGCTTTTTATCGTTTAGTCTGTTGCTGTGTTTTGTAGATCGGGTGGTGTTAGGATCATTAGTCACTACGAAAACAAACCAATCGCATTACAAATGTGGTGTACCTCGGACACTAATGAATTGATAACAGGTATTTAAATGTAAAGCGAAATATTGAGCAATACAAGATACATCCTGTAGGTATAGATCGTTATTTTATTTGTGTTAATAATAATTGCGTTAAGAAAAAAATTTATATTAAGTTATTTACTTAACCTGGCGATACTATTTAATTGCAAAGTACGCTCTAATAATATTAACTAGGGTTAGGCCTATTGGCTGTGTTGTAACATTAGTAGGTGTTCACGGCAACATATCAATAAAACTATAGTATATTGTAATCTAGAATTTTTTATGGAATACAACAATTTGAAATCTAAAGATAATAACAAATGTATTAAAAAAAACAAAAACAATAGTTAGAAAAGAATAAATATATTTGATAGCTAAATTTTAGTCAATGGTAGGGTGGCCGAGCGGTCTAAGGCGCTGGTTTAAGGCACCAGTCTCTTCGGAGGCGCGGGTTCGAATCCCGCCCCTGCCAATAATATTTTGATCTCAAAATTTTTGAAATTCTAATATCTTTATTTACATACTGAGATTGATAATTGAATTGTCGTATAACAAAAAATTTATATGAACAATAACGAAAAATAAAGTCGTATACTGTATATGTGATTTTTCCTAATGGAAGATGGGCCAATATGTTAGATATGATTACATATTCTTCCCGTTGTAATTACGAAAGTTTGAAAAACTGTGCTACTTATGTTAACATATTTTAATTAGGTAGCTAATTCAGATTACATTTGAGGTATGTTCGAGTTACTATTTCCAGTAACTACCAGATTTACATGTTAGGAAACATTATATTCCTTACTTAATTTCTTCTTAAGTTCTTGAAGAGATTGTTTTGCCTAATTTCAACGTCAACGTTGTGACCTCATGTAACTTGTTACTACTTTTTTTTTCTTCTATATTATCAAAAATAAAATAATTTATAACTTCAGTTTGGTTTGTTTTGAATTTTGCGCAAAGCTACTCGAGGGCTATCTGCGCTAGTCGTCCCTAATTTAGCGATGATACACTAGTCAACACCACCCACCACCAACTCCTCGGCTACTCTTTTACCAACGAATAGTGAGATTAACTGTAATTTTATAACACTCCCACAGTTGTAAGGGCGAACATGTTCGGTAATGGGAATTGAAACCCGTGACCCGCAGATTGCGAGTCGAGCGCTCTTACCACCAGGCCTAAAACAACTTGAACCACTTTAATTAAGAAAACAAAGATGGAAACAGTTGTAATTTATTAACAGAATCGGTTCCTTAAACCAGTGTTCTAGATCTCTCGGACATCCTATTACTTCTTGTGAAATTCTTTTAAAATTAGAAATATTTAATTAGACTGGTGGTCAGAGCTAGGAAATCTGTGAACTGCAGAAACATGTATTTTACGTTGTTTTAGACTGTAGGGCTCGGAAAGTCTGTAAACTTCAGAAACTTACATTATACGTTGGTTTATAGCTGGGAAGTCTGAGTGTTTCTCTTATAGCAAAGCCACACCGGGACAGTCCGCTGTGTTTACCGAGGGGAATCAAACCGCTGATTTTAGCATTATAAATGGGAAGACTTACTGCTGTCGCACCGGTGGATGGTATTGGTTAGAGGAATCATAAAAATTGTTACAAATATATTATAATTTTGGTTATGCAAAAATCGAAAGAATTATTTACAGAATACATACACTGCAGTAAAGTATTTTAATTTCAAACTATGGATATGTAACGTGTTGTTAACAGAAATAGACACAAAAAGTAAGTGATGTAGCAAAAATAAAATCTTCAAAAATGTTTTTCACTCGTCCGCGACAGGATTCGAACCTGCAATCTTCTGATCCGAAGTCAGACGCCTTATCCATTAGGCCACGCGGACATGATATGGGAAGTATAATGTTTTATTGTATGCTGTATTTCATGATAAAACTTTATGTTTTAAATTGATGGTTGTGATTTATTACAAGAGATAAACATTTTAAATATTTTTTTTTCACACGTGTATTAAATGAATCATGCCTAAGTTATAAGTAATATGCAATTATTTTATAATACATAAACAGGGATTTTGTTTTGTTGATTTTATGGCTAAATGAATAAATATGAAAAAATGTGTTAACTCATTCCCGTGTCAAGTGATCAGTAAGTTATCGTTATAGAATTTATTTTAATTCAGGATTCTCAATTTATATTCTTATAAAGTATTTCGTCTCCTTGAGAGCCAGCGGTAAGTATACGGACTTATAAAACTATTATCTGGGGTTCGATTCCTCACAGTGGATATCGCGCAGAAGGCCCAATATGTAGCTTTACAGTAAAAACAACGAAAATGAAGTATTTCACTTTTAGCAAAAGAATGGTCAAACTCGCTTATAGGGGAAAGCAATCAGAAACTATATGTATCAGTAAACAGTAGTAAATCTACCGGTAAATAACTCCCATAAGCACCGGACCATCCTGAGTTCCAAATCGTGCAGAAAAATATTTAAAGAAAGAAATAAAGACCTAGTATTACATTCATTAAAAAAACATGTTTAAGCTTAATAAAGGTACCAAAAAAAATGTATTTATATTTTCTAAAATAAAGATTATAAAAATTTTAGAAAAATATTTCTTTATGTATATAAGATACAATTTTTGATTTTATTTATTTTTGCTGACGTATATAATGCAGATACAGGCCAGCCCAATAAAATTGTTGTACAATGTAACTAACATTTGTGTTTGATCGGTGTAAATTTTTTATGAAGAATTATTTATTTTACTAAAAACGGTCTTAACTTCGGATTTATATATTTGTATTTTTATATAATTTAGATATTTATAATTAATTTAGATCTAATTGTGTTTTTCTCTAGACTATTCGTTCGTTATGATACATTCTCGAAGTGGCGCTGTGGTACAACCTATGAAATGTTAGATCCTGGGGATTCCGAATTTGTAACGTTTCATACGTAGTACACTCGATGATGTGTATTGATTACAACTACGGAGCGCGCCTAAAGAAACTCGTAAGTTTATCATTTGTTTACAAAGTATGTATGATCACAAAAATTCAAAGATTTATCTTAGAAGCCTCCAAAAATTTAAAGAACGTGAAAATGAAACAAAGACAAAGTATATATTTTATAAGGGATCATAGTACGTAAATACTAATAATTCCCAATCCATTATTCGATTCCCACTCTTGTGACTTAGTTATACCAATTTCAGGGTATTCCACGGTCCACCCCTCATCAGTAACCCTGTAAAGCGGTATGACTCGGTCACATGCAGTAAATTAGGCTTCGTATTTATTTTTATTACTTTAATTAAACAGCTTTTCTGGTAAATAATTCAGAAGGAAAACTGAGTGCTAGTAGCATTAATGCTACATATTCTTCAAATTCTATATAAACATAGGCTCTTTGTGGGGAATAAAAGACCAATAATCAAACACTATACATGTCTTCCAGTAATGTACAAAAGGATGAATTAGGCGAAAATACTGGGTACGCCTAAAAACAAGCTTAGTCAAACGGTTGTCAGCCTAGTATCGCATATATATATATATATATATATATTATATATAGTAAATGTATTAACTTGAATAATTAATTGCTTCATTGGAATGTAGAATGTGTCAAGTGGGTGGGCCAGAATGTTCACGAGTGTAGACTATGTGTAGACTATTCATTGACATAGTCAATCAAAGAAAGCACTCCTACGTCCATTTTACTGTATGTTGAAGTCAGCTATTACAATAAAGCTCAAATAAGCGACCTTAGAGTAGAACAAGCCGGAAGAACCGCCGCTTTCGACTCTCAAAGAATTAAAGCGATTTGGTAGAAAGACAAGCCAGCCAGAACAATCTGACCAAAATAACATCATAACCAAGAGCGGTGAACAGAAGCAACGGTTTCTGATTATCTTGCAGGCCTGAGAGTTCAAATCAGAACTACTGCCATATATCGGATTGGATCCGTTTATTACAAGCTGACTTGGCAACATTGTTATGTATACAGTATGAAACTCGCCTATCATGGCCTATTATCATGCTCACAAGCATTACAAGAAAAACAAACATTATAACGCATTGTGGTTGGTTGACCGGCAGGATCTAGGCCAATTTCATCATCACATTGATTGCACAGAAGTTCGCCATTTTGCTTAATTGAATGACAACTTTTTTAGGTGAGCATGACCCCTCCCCCCGTCTTTCCAGTAGGCGACTGTCTTCTGCATTCTCAGCTCTTACCTTGCACTCAAAAATTTTATTTCTTCAAACAGATTCATACAAATTACAGTCCTGGAGTTGGTGATACCCCAAACTTTCATTTTGTTTGTTTCTTTGCTGTGAAGTACTAAGCTATACAATGAACTGTCTGTGCTCTGTCCACCGTAGGTATCGAAATTCGATTTTTAAACTTGTAAGGCCGAGACTTCATTTTGAAAGCAGAACGTACTTGTATCATTAGAAAGGAATATTAACAAATATTCAAAGAAGAAATCTGCAAAGCTACGTAATGAAAAAGTTGACCCACAATACATCTTAGCTTAGTATTACTAATGATAAATTAATTAAGTTTATAAATATGATTTTTTCTTCATTTTAGCCGCGGCACAGCGGCTCATAGAATAGCTCTAAGTTTTTCAAGTACAAACTTTCAGCTCAAAGCTCCGTCATCTTTTGACCGATTTGAGATCTGATTTCAGTTTTGGACTCAAGATGGCCATCCCTTTCGTTTGATGTATTTGACTACGCCCAAGGTCTCATAGATTAATTTATTTTAATCATGCCTAAAATAATTTCTATTTTAGGGTAGGTTCCTAGAGATCCTGGTGAGTAGTAAAATCGAATAGGGTATATGCGCTCCCCACGCTTAATTTCCATTGTTGGCGCACAAAAATATAGCTAATAAAAAAAAAAAAAAAAGGTCTAAGATAATTTACTCTAATTCTGCTTAAAAGAATTTCAACTGCCGCGGCTATTGAGGATTTCCCTCTTTTTTATTTTAGCAAAAGAGAAATTGTGAGTCGTAATGTCAAGATTTGTATATATAACAGGACTAATTACTTATAGTATTTTGGCACTTGTGTATAAAGTTAAAATCATAAAAAATATTCAACGTTAAACTGATACACAATTAAAAACGTGAAAACATGTAGAGTCGTCAACTTTTTAAAGGCCATAGATAAGCCTAAATAAAATGGTTTTAATTGTGTATCAGTTTAACGTTGAATATTATTTATGATTTTAGGACTAATTATTTATTACACTTTAACAAGAATTACAGCTTGCTTAATGTACAGTAGTCCTGGACTGTATTGCAAATCAGCAAAACTCAATTTAAGCCGGTAGGTAGCGCTTGCAAGAAATTTGGATATGTGTTTGAAATATCTATCCAAAATGGCACAAATATTCGATAGGAGTGACTATGAGACAATGTTTTCTTCTAATCCA